TTTTATAAAACTCGAGAATCGTTTTATAAAACTCGAAGAATCGTTTTATAAAGCTCGAGAATCGTTTTATAAAATTCGAGAATCGTTTTATAAAACTCGAAGAATCGTTTTATAAAACTTGAGAATCGTTTTATAAAACTCGAGAATCATTTTATAAAACTCGAAGATTCGTTTTATAAAACTCGAAGAATCGTTTTATAAAACTCGAGAATCGTTTTATTTAACTCGAGAATCGTTTTATAAAACTCGAGAATCGTTTTATAAAACTCGAGAATCGTTTTTTAAAACTCGAGAATCGTTTTATAAAACTCGAAGAATCGTTTTATAAAACTCGAAGAATCGTTTTATAAAACTCGAGAATCGTTTTACAAAACTCCAAAATCGTTTAATAAAACTCGAGAATCATTTTATAAAACTCGAGAATCGTTTTATAAAACTCGAGAATCGTTTTATAAAACCCGAAGAATCATTTCGTAAAACGAATCGTTTTATAAAACTCAAAGAATCGTTTTATCGCGTTTTATAAAACTCGGGAGCATATTCTTCCCGCTACATCATACGAATAAAAACACGCGAACTGATTTTTTAAAGCCGCAAAAGCGGCAGGGACTCAGAGCCACACACGGCCAGTCCGAAAACTATAACGGCCACGCTCGGCCAGATCAAACGGCCTACGAGACCAGTCTCAAGGCCGGCAAAGGTCAAGATGCCATCGACATCATTATGCTCGATAAACATATAACTAGACCGTAAAGGTCTTGCCGGGAAAAAGGTCATACGAACCTTAGCTCCGAATCGAACTACGTAAGGCTTGATCCCCTCAAAAGGGTACGTAGGCAGCCTTCACAAGGCGCAGCCCTAATCTTAAACGCTTTCCGCTCCCTAAAGAGTGGAAAGATCACTTTCCACGGACCTTTCCGACTATTAATTCCGCCTAACTCAACTAAAACTGGTTAATCACTCGCAAGAACCTTACGCTAAAGACTCACGATTCTTACGAGCTGGGGGGCTAACTGTTGGGGTCAAAATCGGTATGACGGAATTAATAGCCAAAACTTTCCGCAAGAATAGAAAAAGAACAGTTTTATAAAGCTCGAGAATCGTTTTATAAAGCTCAAGAAATCGTTTTATAAAGCTCGAGAATCGTTTTATAAAACTCGAGAATCGTTTTATAAAACTCGAGAAAAACCGTTTTATAAAGCTCAAGAAATCGTTTTATAAAGCTCGAGAATCGTTTTATAAAACTCGAGAATCGTTTTATAAAACTCGAGAATCGTTTTATAAAACTCGAGAATCGTTTTATAAAACTCGAGAATCGTTTTATAAAACTCGAGAGCCGTTTTATAAAACTCGAGAAATCGTTTTATAAAACTCAAGAATCGCTTTATAAAACTCGAGAAACCGTTTTATAAACTCGAGGATCATTTTTTAAAACTCGAAGATCGTTTTTATAAAACTAAAAAGTCATTTTATGAAATCCGAGAATCGTTTTACAAAACCGCAAAAAACCGAAAAAGCCGTGAAACGCGAACTAGTCGCAACTAGTCCGCCCACCGGCGATCTAAGCCAAACCCGGCTTAGATCGCCGATGGGCGATCTAAGAAACACTCTCTAGATCGCCCATCGGC